TTTTGCCCCCCTTCAGTTGACTTTTTTGTCCTGTGTATTGTGTTTTTGGATGTCTGTGTGTTCTAGATAGAAGTTCTTTGTGAAATATGTATTTTGTGAATATTCTGCCAGTTTGCCTTTTGATTTTCCTAATGGTGTCTTTTGATGGTCATAAAATTTTTCATTTTTATTAGTAGTTCATTCTTTTTTTCCTTAATTGTTATTCTTTGTACAAGATCACGTCATCTATAAAGAGAGAGTTTTACTTTTTGTTCTAACATAAATTTGTGTGTGCACACATGCACGACTGTGCACGTACGTGCATATAATTGCCTGGTTAAACCTCCAGTAAAATATTAAGTAGAGCTGGGTGAGGTGTCGCATGCCTGTGATCCCAGTGGTTCTGAAGGCTGAGGCAGAAGGATCATGAGTTCAAACCCAGCCTCAGCAATGGCAAGGTGCTAAGCAACTCAGTGAGATCCTGTCTCTAAATAAAATGCAAATAGGGCTAGGGATGTGGCTCAGTGGTTGAGTGCCCCTGAGTTCAATCCCTGGGATCCCCCCCCCAAAAAAAATGTTGAGTAGAGGTGATAAAAGTGGATGTCTTTGTTGTTTTTTTGATCTTGCAAGTAGTGCATTGAGTTTTTGACCATGTGTGATTATCATAGATTTTTATCAGGTTGAGGAAGTTCCGTTTTTTTCATTTGTTGAAATTGTTTTTATCATGAAAGGTTTGAACAAACAACACTTTTTCTGCTTCACTATAGATGATCATGTGGATATTTTCCTTTATTCACTTAATATCATATGATATTGATTGACATTTGTGTGTGAGCATATGTGCACGTGGTAGTTAGGATTGAATCCATGAGTATTTTGCCTCTGAGCTGTATTTTGAGCTCTTTTTAAAAAAAAAAAATTTTTTTAATTTTGAGATAAGGTCTAAGTTGATTAGACTAGCTTCAAATTTGCAATTCTATTGCCTCAGCCTCCTGAGTTGCTGGGATTACAGATATGTGCTATAAGGCCTTTTTATTTTGAGACAGGGTCTTGCCAAGTAGCTTAGGTTGGCCTTGAATTTGTGATTCTCCTGCCTCCTAAACAGCTGAGATTACAGGTGCACAACATCATGTTTGGCTATATATTTTAAAATTTCCAAGTATTTGATACTTTCAGGTTTGCTGTTGATTTATAATTTGATTTATGATTGTGGTCAGAGAACAGTTTTTTGTTTGGTTTGTTTTTGCTGTGCTGGGGATTGAACCCCAGCCTTTGAGAATTTTTTTTTTTTTTTAAATAAGAGCCTAGTCTTGATAAATTTCAAGACTCAGCATGTTGCCTATTATGGTAAGGATTCCATGTGCCATTGAAAAGTATTTTCTTAGCTGGATATAGGAGCATGTATCTGTAATTCCAGCTACTTGGGATACTGAACAGGAGGATAGCAAGTTTGCTACCAGCTTCACAAAAAGACCTGTTCTTTTTGAGACCCTGTTTTTAAAAAGGGGGCTGGTGATGTAGCCCAGTGATACAGTGCCCCTGTATCCCCCACTCCTACACACACACACACACACAAATGAAACTAGCCTGGGCAGTTTCAAGAGCAACTCTCAAAATTTAAAAATGGGGATGGTTGTGTAGCTCATTCAGAGCTGTTGCCTGGCATGTGGTAGGGCTCTGGGAGAAATTCTCAGTCTTGTGTTAAAAAAAAAAAAGTGGTTAGTTTTGAAAATTCCTAATGGTTTGACTGCTGTTAAACCTACTTAACCTATTTAACACTATTTACAACCTACATTCCACACTTCAGCTTCCTTTTTAAGGGTTCTTGTCTTTCATTCTGGTGAATACCTGTTCGATTTTTTAAAAATATTTTTTCAGTTGTAGGTGGACATAATTCCTTTATTTTTATTTATTTATTTATTTTTATGTGGTGCTGAGGATCGAACCCAGTTCCTCACCTGTGATAGGCAAGCACTCTACCACTGAGCCACAACCCCAGCCCCACCTGTTCAGTGTTTTTTTAAAAGGACCTTTTTCTTAAACTTGATCTTGCATTTTATAGATATAAAAGTATATTCTATACTTATTTGCTGGACTTTTTGTTTCTCTCAGGCAGAAATTATCATCTCATTCTTTTGTTTGCAATTTTAATGAAGTGAACCCCTTAAGACTGGACTCCTTTATGTCATATCTTTTTTTTTAACATTTATTTTTTAATTGGACATAATAGTTTTTTTTTTGTTGTTGTTGTTGTTGTTTATTTTTATGTGGTGCTGGGGATCAAACCCAGGGCCTTGAACTTGCTAGGCGCTCTACCGCGGAGCCACAACCCCAGCCCCTATGTCATGTCTTTTAAGACCACTGTACATCAATATATTTATTGTTTGATAATTTTTTGTAATTTCCACCTAATGAGTCTGGGTTTGTTGAAATAGGTTTACCCTTAGGCATTTTGGAAAAGAATATTTATTTATTTGTTTAATTTTATTATTCTTTTTTTAATTGTCAATGGACCTTTATTTTGTTTATTTATATGTGATGCTGAGAATCTAACCCAGTGCCTCACACATGGTAGGCAAGTGCCCTACCACTGAACTACAACCCCGGCCCTGGAAAAGAATCTTTAGATTATAGAAGTTGATTAAAAAATTTAATTTTTTCCTATGCATTTCCTATATATCTTTATTTTGTTTTTGTGGTACTGTGGTACTGAGGATTGAACCCAGTGCCTCACTTGTGCTAGGCAAGTTCTCTACCACTGAGCCACAACTTCAGCCCTGCATTTCCTACATAAACTTCTGTACTGAATTAATTAAAGGAATTTAGATCAAATTTGTATACTATAGACAGGTTAAGTAAATAACAGATACCTTTGACAATCCTTTTATAAATTAACATTGACCCTTTAGGAAAAGGGGCAAATAAAATAAAGATATGGCAATTTAAAGTTGAGTGTCATTTGGTTATGGAAAAACATCATTTGGAAAGATGTTTTGAGACTTTGTTAAGTCTTGAGTTTGGGGGGGGGGTATCTCAGTCCTTTCTGGCTGTCATAAGAAAAATACCAACGACTGAGTGGGTGGGTGGCTGATGAAATTTATTTCTCACAGTTCTATAGACTTCGAAGTTCAAGATTACATTTCTTTCCTTTTTTGGGGGGAGGGTACTTGGGATTGAACTCAGGGTCACTCAAACACTGAGCCACATCCCCAGCCCTATTTTGTATTTTATTTAGAGAAAAGTCTTACTGAGTTTGAACTCGTGATCATCCTGTCTCAGCCTCCCAAGCCACAGGGATTACAGGCATGCACCATCTTGCCCAGGTCTGGCACATTTCTTAATACTTAGTTTTAGTCTTCATGTTCTGTTTCACAGATTGTAGTTCAAGGGTGTGTCCTTAACTGTTTTTCTAAGTGTCTTGCGAGTTTTGCCAGCCATTGGTTTTCTTATCTGTAAAATGAAAGTGACCAAATAGAGAGCCTTATGTGTCCTCTTCCTTCTCCTCCTCTTCTTTCCTTTCTTTGTAAAAGGGTAGAATTTATTCAAGTAAGAAGAAGAGACAGAACTCCTGCAGGGTGAGAGGAGACCTGACCTTATAGGGATTGCCACTAATTCACTTAACTAGTCTTGGTAGGGACATGGATCAATGTCTATGCTAATCAAGTATTGGAAAAGTGTCAATGCTATTGGTTCAGCCTGAACTATTCTGTTTGTTTAGCTTGAGTCTGTAGTTTTCACTCAGGTCTGTTTAGCCTTCCTTTTCCCATTGCCCTGGGACAAAGGAGTTTGCTGGAATATTTGGGATGTTTCTACAAATTAATCTTATGGAGTGGCCTTTACATTTCGAGAAGCTATTATGGGGCCTATTTCTTTTACTATCTGAATGTCTATCCTATCCTATTCTTTCCCCGCCTCTGAAGGAGGATCCCTAATTTCCTTAAGGAAAAGGGGTGATGATTGCTGTGGCTTCTTCAAACTGAAAAGGGGAGATGAAAGAGTACAGCAGTCAGGGTCCTACGGAGCCTAGCTAAGGTTCCCCAGTAGATGGGGATTTCATTTTGAATTCTATTTGTATGGCCATTTATAGCTTGATAGCCTCTGCTGCTGTAGTTTGGCAGCAGACCCAATTGCCTGCCAATGCCTTCTTTCCAGGTTCTTATCTTGTGAGTTTGAAGAATGAAATCAATAGATGAGAGCAAGTAAACATAAAAGAGTGTAGCATTTATTCAAATGAGAATAAGAGAGACAGAACTCCTCCAAGGTGAGAAGAGATTTGATAGGGGGTTGCCCTTTTTTTAGTGGGTAGCGGTGGTACTGGGGGATTGAATCCAGGTATGCTCAACCATTGAGCTGTTACATCCTCAACCCTTTTTATTTTTTTATTTTTTTTTACTTTGAAACAGGTTCTTAACCACATTGTTCATGCTGGCCTTGAACTTGGCATCCTCCTGCCTCAGATTCCCAGGTTGCTGGTATTAGGCATTTTTGTTGTTGTGTTGGGGATTAAACCCAGGGCCTCAATCAGTGCTAGGCAAGTACTCTGCAACTGAGCCACATCCCTAGCTCATGAACATAGTTTTTAAAGTATTGTTATATGTGTTAAGATTAGAATCTCAAAATGATCCATTTGCTCCTATTTATACTTGTATAATTATTGATTATTGGAATTGTGTTCATGGAATTAACTCATTCATTGAATAATGTTTTTCCCACTGCATTGTAAGTTTGGAAAGGCAAACTTTTCTCTACCTAGCTCATTACCTTATCGGTGTTTACCTAGCCCAGTGCTTCAAATGTGGTTAAGTGCTCAATAAATATTTGTAGAATAAATGAACGATTAAACAAATGGCAATCTTGGCATGAGCAGAGGTAGCATAATGATTAAATCTGCTTAGAGAACTGGACTTTTTTTTTCTTTTATTAATTTATTTTAAATCAAGAGATTTTTATTATGTAAGTTGGGCACATTTGCATATACTAGGTTTTAATTTTAATAACCTTTGTTATTATTTTTCTTATAGTTTTACATGTGGCACCCATAAAAGATGAGGCTGAGAACACGAAAAGCTTCTCAGCAGTCAAATCAAATCCAAACACAACGCACTGCCAGAGCAAAAAGGAAATATTCAGAGGTGGATGATGGGCTGACATCAGGAGGAGAAAAACCACCGAAGAATGAAACCGGCCTATTGTCTTCTATTAAAAAATTCATTAAAGGAAGCACACCCAAGGTAATGGTTTTGCCTTATACTTACATTAAAAAGAGGTGATGTTTAGGTTGTTTCCTCTAAGCATATATAAATGAGATATTGATACTGATTGAGTCTGTTTTAAGGGAATATCTGCATTTTAGTATTATTTTACCTAGATTATCACATACAAAATATTTAATGGAAGTTGAAGATGAACATTATTTAGTCCCTTGATCTAGTCACCCACTTTGCCTTTGGCATTATGGGAAACAAAAGAAAAAATTTCCTTATTCTTGAGTCTTTCTCTCTTCCCTTCTTCTTCCTTTATTTTTTATCTTTCTCTTCTGCACCTCTCAGTTGGAGATTGAATCTGGGGGTGCTCTACTACTGAGTTACATCTCCAGCCCTCATTTTTTTATGTTGAGGCAGAGTCTGGCTAAATTGGCCAGCACAGCCTTGAATTTATAATCCTCCTGCCTTAGCCTCCCCAGTAGCTGGGATTACAGGCCTATTTCACTGTGCCTGGCTTAAATTATTTCCTTTACTTCCATTGTCTTTCATTTCAGAGAATAGTAAGTTTTTTGTTAATATTATTCACTAATTAGGAAAATGATTTATCTACCTGAATTCTAACATTTGCACAATGGAAATGTATTACTTCATTGAAGATGAAATTATTTTTTTAAAAAGAATGGAAACCAACCCGAAGTCATGCTCTAGATTCATATTGTGGGCCAATTTGAGTGACCTAAGGAGAGTCATTTTTCCTTCTGGGTTTCAGGAGGATAGTAATATGGGAGTAATGGTAACTACTTTGTTTTAGCATTATTTTAGGTTAGTTGGGGTGCAGTGGCGCACACCAGTAATTCCATTCACTCAGGAGGCTGAGGCAGGAGGATTGCAAATCCAAGGCCAGCCTCAGAAGTTTAATGAGACACTATCTCAAAATAAAAAACAAAAAAGAGGGTTTAGTGGTAGAGCATCCCTCAGTTCAATCGCCAATATCAATCAAATAAATCACTATTATTTTCAGGTTAGATTTTACAACAAGGTTGAAAAGCAGTTTGACAAACTTTTAATATATAATAAAGGTACAGTGTTATCATTCATTATATATAGATTACATGCTATTTTTGTGTTCTTTCTTGGTACAATTAAATTTGTATGATGTATGTTTTATTATGAACTGGGTGTGGATGGCACGCATCTGTAATCCCAGTGACTCTGGAGGCTGAGGCAGGAGGATTACAAATTTGAGGACAGCTGTTTATCAATGCCCTAAGCCTTAGCAAGACCCTGTCTCAAAATGAAAAATTAGAAAGGCTGGGAAGATGGTTCAGTGTTTAAACATCCCTGGGTTTAATCTCTGCCCCCCCCCCACACCCACTCAAAAAAAGTTTTATTATAACGTAAGCTGCTTATTTTGAGCAATAGAAAATAAATACTGCTTTGACTTATTCATAGTGGTAGATTTTATTGTAATAGAATTAATAGAGCATAATAACTAAACCATTGGTCAAGATTTATAGTCTGTGTTTGTATAAGATTTTTATTTTTGTTTTATTGTAAAAGTTTTGTCTTTCTGAGACTTTCTTTCATTAGTTTCAAATAACATCTTTGCCAAGCATACATGACTCTCCCAGCTCAGGGAGTCTCCCAGTTTTTCTACCACTACCACCACCAACACCTGCCCTCCACCCCTAAACTTATAATCTTATAATCTTATGGCTTAGGAGGATATTTATACAATTGCAATTTAATTGAGCACCTGCTGTGTACCTAGCCTTGGCAGGCAATTCACATTTGTTAGGGAGAAGGGTCAAGTGCCACCAGGCTCTAGTTAGGAACCTCCCTACTTCGCATTAACTAGTTCTACCTCCAGTTGCTGCCAGGGAAGACATTGGGGAGATCATTCAGTGACCCAGGGTTTGTTTAACAGTGTGTTAGAAGAGGATGCATAATGGAGGAGAAATGAAAGTATAGTTTTAAAAAACCCAGAACCTCGAGCTGGGGCTGTAGCTCAGCAGCAGAGCACTTGCGTGGCATGTGTGAGGCACTGGGTTCGATCCCCAGCACCACATAAAAATAAACAAATAAAATAAAGGCATTCTGTCCATCTGCAACTACAAAAAATTAAAAACAAAAACCCAGGACCTCCATTTTAGTTGCCAAGATAAGGAGATAAGAGATGTCAAAGGCAGAAGGATCCTTCCATTTTCTATAGCTTGTATTTCTTAGATGGACGGGGGGCAGCAGAGCCTATCATATATAAACAAACATATAGTATATCCATTGCTTTAAAATATCATGGAGGAGCTGGGCATGGTGGGGTGTGCCTATAATCCCAGCAACTCTGTAGGCTAAGGCAGGAGGATCCCAAGTTAAAGGCCAGCCTAGGCAACTTGGAGATACCTTGTTCCAGATTAAAGAAATTAAAGCCAGGGGTGGTGGTATATACCTACAATCCCATGATTTGGGAGGCTGAGGCAGGAAGATCTTGAGTTTAAGGCCAGTCTCAGCATCTTAGTGAGATCTTTTTTCAAAGTGAAAAATAAAAAGAATTGGGATGTAGGGGGTGTAGCTCAGTGATAAAGCATCCCTGGATTCAATCCCCTGATATTAGTATTTTAAATACATATATATTTGACTCTAACCTGTACCTTTTTTCCACCATTCTGTCTGAAAGTAACTATTGTATTTATAGTACAAAATCTAATTTATGTAAGGATAGTAAATTTCTAGTGTGAAGATTATTCTTTGTGTGTAGGTAAATAAAAGTTGGGTCTTCTTGTGCTGCCCACTTTGTCATTTATTTATATTGTTATCAGCTCAAAATTGAACCTAATTTTTTAAAAAATATTTATTTATTTTTCTTTTTGTTTTCGGCGGACACAAAATCTTTGTATGTGGTGCTGAGGATCGAACCCGGGCCGCACGCTTGCCAGGCGAGCGCGCTACTGCTTGAGCCACATCCCCAGCCCTGAACCTAATTTTTTATAGGAAGTTTTTCATGTAGTATTTTGTACCTATATCACCATTTACTACTCCCTTAATCTTTCTCTCTAGATGATGGACTACTGCTCTTATTTCTACAAGTGTCCCTTTCAAACCCAAAGTGAGACAATTTCCTATGCTGCTACTTTTATTTTCTTGGTACCATTCCTTTTTCTTCTTCTTTTATTTTTTTGTTCATTTGTTTTTCAATACTGGGAATTAAATCCAGAGGCACTTAACCACTGAGCCACACCCCCAACCCCCTTTTATTTTTTTATTTTGAGACAGGGTCTTGTTAAATTACTTAGGACCTTGCTAAGTTGCTGAGGTTGGTCTCAAACTTGCACTACTCCTACCTCAGCCTCCTGAGTTACTGGAATTATAACCATGCACCATTCTTTTTCTTTCCTTTTGGATTTTCACAACTATGTGAGTAGACTTGAAATATAGACAAACTTCTTTGCTTTCTCTTTTGAGCTGTGTTCCTTTCTGAGATATTTTACTTTGCTTTTATGCCTCTGGTGAATCTTTTAGAAACTTGGTTACCTATGTTATTAGCCCACTTTATCTGTTGTTCTTTATTATGATTTCTAGGGTCACATAGCTATTGGTGTTCTTGGTCTTTTCCTCTTTTTATATTGTCAATTAGTTTATATCTGTATTCTAGTTCTAACTTGGCCATAAATTAGCTATGAGAGTATTCAGGTAATCTAAACAAGAGGTGTTGTTCATTTATGGATATAAGGGGTATCACATACTACGTATCTTAAAGATCAGAAGTGTAGGACAAGGCATGGTGGTGCAAGCCTGTAATCCCAGCATCTCTGGAGGCTATGGCAGGAGGACCACATGTTCAAAGCCAGCCCCATCCCTAAACAAAAAATAAAAAGGGCTGGGGATGTGGCTTAGCGGTTAAGTGCCTTGGTTTCAGTCCCTTGTGCCAAACAAACAAAAAGCCAGAAGTGTATTTTTCTTTCTGGAGCAAAGATTAGGTGAAAACTTTTATTCTTACTCCTTAACCTATATATTGCTAAACATCATAGTTTTATTTGGTTTTCCTTCTTAGTACCAAAGATAAATTCAACTTATTGATATATCTATATCTATATATTTATTTATTTTAGTTATAGATGGACACAAACTTTATTTTGTTTATTTTTATGTGTTGCTGAGGATTGAACCCAATGCCTCACACATGCAAGGCAAACGCTTTACCACTGAGCCACAACCCCAGCCCCACTACTTGTTCTTGTAAGCAATTCTCTCTCTCGCTCTCTTTTTTTAAACAAATGTATTTTCCCTCTTTACCAGGAATTGAACCCAGGGGCACTTAACCACTGAGCTATATCCCCAATCCCCTTTTAATTTTTTTTTTTTTTTTTTTAATTTAGAGAAAGGGTCTTGCTGAGTTGATAAGTGCCTCACTAAGTTGCTGAGGCTGGCTTTGAACTTGGTATCCTTCTGCCTTAGCCTCCCGAGCTGCTGGGATTACAGGCATTTACCACTGAGCCCAGCAACAGGGATTTTTTTTTGAGAGAGAATTTTTTTTTAATATTTATTTTTCAGTTTTCAGTGGACACAACATCTTTATTTTATGTGGAACTGAGGATTGAACCCAGTGCCCTGCGCATGCCAGGCGAGCGCATTACCGCTTTAGCCACATCCCCAGCCCCAACAGAGGGATTTTTTAATAACTGGATTAATTTACTAATTATGGAATGAAGAAAAAAAAGCTCAGGTGACTAGTTTAATAGAAGAAACAATTTTATTTTAAAATTCATTCTTCTTCTTCCCCATACACAAAATAGCCCTGAACTGTACGAAACTAGCACCCTGTTTTAGGTTTCTACTATACTTCAATAAAAAGAACTAAGGTTTCAGGCTTCTTGAAGAAATGTCTCATTCTAGGGCTTGGGCAGTATCCTCTAAAATGAAGTAACCCTTGGGACTGTAATAAATACATAGATAAGTAAGTTAATTAATAAATGGGGAAGGAAAAGTAGGTTTATAATTAAGCAACATTTGTTGAGAATTGCCTTTCCACA